TGGTTTGTGATTTGTGACCCATTGGCCAGTGATGAAGTTAATTTGTTGAACTGTGAACAGCACTTCATGAAAAACTAAAATAAGACATACTGAAAGATGTATTTTATTGACACATGATTTTAAAAGTTTAAAAGCATTGCTTGTGGCCTATATAGGTTCAAAGAAGTTTCCATACTATTTTTCTCTTTGGTTGTTTTCTGAAGGTTCTAGAAGGAGTGGTTTGGCACTCCTGGCCTCACAGTGGGCCCAAGTTGTGTTGCAGAAATTGGTCAATTCTTTTTCCAAAATACTGCCAACATCGGTGCAAGTGGTCAACACATCATTTTCTTGAACTCTTATCTGCTTCATAAAGCAAATAAGCCTGGACCTTGAAGCTCCCTGCCCCTGCTTCCCATTCAAACCCTGCCCTAGGAAACTCCCATGTCAGCATGGCTTCCAGTATTCCCAGGCTACAACCCTGGGATGAACCCCCCACACCCTTTTGAAGTACTACCTGAAAAAGTTCAAAATTGTCGAAATAATTTACAGTTTGTTGTAGCTAACAACTGACCTCAGACATCTGAGCAGGCAAGAAGAAAAGGAAAATCTCAGATGAAAAAAAAAAAAAACAGAAGTGAAAAACAGTGAATGGTAAACAGGCAGATCAATGCTAAGGCCAGGATGCACTAGACCTTGACAGGTCCCTAGACCAGGGATCTTGAACTATGACAGTGTACACAAACACAAAATGAGGCATGGGCCCACAGGAACAGGGAGAGGACTGAGCATCCAATTATCCCTGAGATCTCATAGGAAAATTGGCTGAGCATAAAGTTAATAAATTGGCTGAGCATAAAGTTAAGGTCAAAATCCCATTTTGACTCATAGCCAGTACACTGTCCATTGGATTTCTAGCCCAGAATCAACTCCAGAACAACTCTCCCCATGAGATGAATCTGTGCTTCCCAAGGTTTTCCACCAAGACCTCCTAAAGCAGAAGAATAAGAAACCAAGAGGGAATGGTCCAAAGCTATTCGTGGAACACCAAATTTCTTTGGAGCCTCAAATTTCCTTTTCAGTTGTATAGGACTTTTGCATTATAATCCAGAACAAACCAAAATGATTTCAAGTTCTTCAGTGGGTGAGAACTACAGCCCTCCATCTCATATACTGATGCGAAAAGAGTGGGGTTGGTGGGGCCTCAGAGATGACATGGAAGACACTGGTAGAGGGCTTAGAAGTCAGATCTGGAATCAAAACCTAAAAGAGGGCATCCTGTAAGAGGGGGTGAGGCCAGGCAGGATGAAAGTCGCATAAATTGCAAATGAGTTGGGAAAGCTTGTTCAGAGAGGCAATGTGGATTTAGGGAGGGAAAAACTGTACTGTTAACCATTCTACAAAGCAAACCTGGTGAATGGTTGTCTTCTGCATTAATCTAAACTCTCTTGATCTACTGAAACATTTTAAATTCCCACCAACTACATTTAATTTCAATTCAGATAGTATTGATTTTGAAAAATAGTATTTATTCATATCAACCAAAAGAAGTAAAAAAAATCATTGATTATATACAACACATTCTTATCCATTTCATACACATTTTATTGAATAAATTAAAACTTCTTTAACCTATAAACAACATCCTTGCTTTAATCACTTAAAAAACTACAATCTCATGAAACCAAAAATGCTTAAATGGTTTGGTTCACTATTTATGCCTATAAATATAAAAATCTGACCTGTCAGGACTGGCTTTGCAGTACCTATATTTGAGACATATGGGAATTTACATGGAAGTTGACTCTTTGAATCATGAGATCTAACACTTAGAAGAAAAAATGACTTTGCAACCCCAAATTAGGACTTCATACAAAAAAATCCATTGATGTCTACTCACTTTAAAAATTATGGAGTACTTTTATTTTTCAAAATCAAATAGGACAAGTAAAGAATGAACACTACTACCTCAACTTTTATAAATAGCAAAGCTATGCTTTCACAGCTATAAAAGAATGTTGAGAATGATAATTGTTATTTCCCTGAGAGCATGGTTACTTTGAGTTCAAGGACATGGAGTTTTACATGTGTGTGTTTCCTGAAACCACTGAGACCAGAATGGCTGAAAGCAAAGAAGAAGACATTTATCTGTCAGTGTTTTGGTGAGCTTAACTCCCTGCCTGTCAGACCAGCCTTGACCAGCCTTAACCTCTTCTACAGATTCTACTCCATCAAAGGCTCTGGGTCTTGTTATCTCCATTAGGATGCAAGACCCAACCAGGCAGCTCACAGGCCCCACAGCAAATTGCCCCAACTGTTGGCCCTGCTCTAACTTGTGCCTCAGTTCTAGGAAGTAGGTTCCCTCTTTGTTTCCTTGTGTGCAAGTCCCCTGCTCCTTTATTCTTTCTTGCCCTTCTTGGGACTGGAGTCACGCTTACAAACTCCTGGGCCGCAATATCATTTTCTAGACCCTCATCTTCAAAACCTGACCTCCTCCTCCTCTACCATGTCTATCCATGCAGAGGCCCTGCCTCAACATGCCAACTGTGGCAGAACCTCCTTCTATCCCCCCTCTGAGTCCTGGGGTTGTTTCTGGGTTAGCCTCAGCTTGCTCTCCCCATACTGGTGGTACATAACCATTAACTTGGTGCAAACTTGGGATTTTGTTTTATTAACTTGGAATGGAAAGTAGATTTTAAGAGCTTCTAGTGCCTAGAAGCTTAAACTCTGATGACTATACTTGCAAAGTTTCCCCAAAATGACTTGAACTTTTTTTCCTTTCCTAAAAGCTACAGGCTGGCAGCTTCAAATGCAGAACCCTAGATCATTTTTTTGGAGGGGGGTTTTCCAAGGATTGAACTCAGGGGCACTCAGCCACTGAGCCAAATCCACAGTCCTATTTTGTATTTTATTTAGAGACAGGGTCTCACTGAGTTGCTTAGCACCTTGCTTTTGCTGAGGCTGGCTTTGAACTCTCAATCCTTCGGCCTCAGCCTCCCGAACTGCTGGGATAACAGGCATGCACCACTCTAGATCTTCTTAATAGGTAAATCTGTCCCCTGACCCACATTATTATTAAGAACTCCTGGATCTTGAATACCTGTAACTTTACCACAATTCACATGTTTATTGGTGTTACAAAAATCATAGAGACTCCTCCCCTTGTGTGAACTTAGACATTATGAATTACCCCTGAAACTTCAGAACTGCATTTAGAATCAGGTTTATAACTTAGAGATCCTATGTCCTCACTTTCCCAGCACAATCTTAACCCCCCCCCCCCACACACACACACACACCTCTAAAGAACTGTAAGTTTGCTGATTGCTTCTATCAAAGGACAGTACCCATTGGATCCCTGGCAAGGAACATTCTCTTTCTGAGAGTTGTGTGCCAGTGATGTTGTCATTGGATTTCCTCTTTGGAATCTCTTCCCTGAAATAGCCTTTGGACTAAGACTGATTTTTCCTGTAGGTCACAAATGGCTCAGACAGTGATCTGCAAGAGACAAACATGTAAGAAATCACCACTAGTTGACCTAAGTGCACAGCTCTCAGAAGAGACCCCCTTGACAGGCAATCAAGTCTTGGACTCAGCCCCATAAGTATGCATCTCATTTTTGGCTAACTTGAAGAAAAGAAAAATTAGAATATTGATTGGTGGCCCACTTACCCATTTATTGAGGTCTCTAGGGTAGAGATTTGATTTCCAAGATTGACAAACATGCAATGAACTAGATAACATTGCTGAACTAGATTAAATTGTTGCAGTTGAGAGCTTTGTGAAGGTCATTAGAGCTTGTGGTGCATGACAGTGTGTTCTCAATATCCATAAGTATGGGTGCATTGACCCGTCTTAATTTTCTTCTCAGGGGATAGATCACCTGACCCTAAGGCAGAGCATTTTACACACCAACATGTATTTATATTTATCTTCAACAAGCTAGGCATAAATAGAGATATAATTTTCCAAGTTTTAAATATACATTTACAACATTAAGTTCTTCTGACCATAATTTTTTTTTTTCCTTTTGTGGAACTGGGGATTGAATCCAGGGGTACTCTACCACTGAGTACATCCCTACCCTTTTAATTTTATTTTGAAACAGGGGCTCACTAAGTTGCCTAGGCTGACCTGGAAGTTGCGATCCTCCTGCCTCAGCCGCCCAAGTCCCTGGGATTACAGGCTTAGACCACCACACTTGACTTGACCTTAACTTTTTTTCTGTAAATTAAGTTCACTAGCAACTCTAATACCTCTGACTTCCCAAACCACTGAGAAGTACAAGCACAATATGCCCCTTCTGACATGAACTAAAACTCTATAAAGAGAACTGAAATCATACAATGAAAATAAAGTACCTGGGGTAATGCAGTTGCTATGTTTTTAACTACAGCGTATGAAACAGGATCTCTTAACCTGTTTCTCTATCTTGGGGATTAGAATGAATTTCCAGTGAGCTCATTTGAAAGTTCTTTTCTTAGAGTGAAGGGCAGACTCTGTTCTTAGAATCAAAATTGAGCCAAGCTTATTCAAAACTCAAGAAGATAGGCTTTAAAAGATCCTGAAAACTTCAGGTGAGTGGGTCCAGATCACAGTCTTAAAGTAGAAAGTACACTGTCAAGAAGAATCTGACATTCCTGCAGTGGCCAGCAGTGTTGAGATGTTTACGTATTTAAAAAACAATAGTTTGAGTCTCTGGAAACCTCTTTTCTACATTACAGTACAACTGTTGGACATTAAGAGTCCAGGCACCAGACTGTGGTGAAGGTAATTCCATCTGGCAATGTTAGTTCAAGTCCAAAATGGGCCATCCAGTGACCATAAAAAAGAAAAGCTTTGATGCCAGGAGAACAGAACACAAAACTTTTTATCTCTTTCAATACAAACTGGTCTTCCCAGAACTGCCTCCCCTGTCAAGTGGGACAGCCTATGAGACACTCTTGACAAAAGCCCCCAAAGTCTCCAACACTAAGGATTTCATAAGATTTAAATACAGGAGTGAAAAGAAAAAAAAAAAAAAGGAAAAAGAAACACCTTTATTTCCCTGCCTTGCTGAGTCAATCTTCTAACAGACTGGCCAGAACAAGACCTGAGTCAGGTTTGGGTTTTGATTTTCCTCCTCTCAGTTAGGCACATGGTGGGGAGGACATTGGCTTTGAACTGGAAAGACTTGGGTTTATACTCCTGGCATAGCTACTTGCTAAATGAGTACCCGGGGGCAAGCCACTTGACCTTTCTGAAACTCAGTTTCTTCTCAGACTAGAGTGACAATATCCCAGCAGGCGGTCATTCCCATGGTTAAATGAGTTAATATAGAAAAAGACCTGGCATAGGGTAGAAGTGTCGCAAATGTTAAATATTACTCTTCTTCCATCCTTCCTCCTGAGGTAGGTCATGCAAACATTCCTGGCCATTTTCAAGTGTTCCAAAGTTGTGACTTGCTAGGTGCCCCAGAGCAAGCCGGGTGCGCTCCCGATGCATGGCCTTAAACACAAGCGGAGCCTGCGGGTGGACACGGATGAAGGGCGCAAGGTAGAACTAAGTGCTTCCGGTGGCGCCCTCCAGGGTCCCTTGTCAGTCACACAGACACAGCTCCGGGCACGATCCTCCGGATGTGGGTGTAGGACTTCCTGATGGTGACGCTGCCGTGGTGCGACACCCCCCGGGGCAGGACGCACTCCTCCGTCAGTTTCTGAGCCTCGGGGTCCCAGCACAGTACAGTGGCGATGACCTCGTTCTTCTCGTCCCGCCCGCCGGTGATGTAGAGCCGGTTGTTGCAGGGCGCGATGCCGCAGCTGGCCCGCTCGTGGCTGAGCTGCGTCACCAGGCACCAGCTGTCCTCCAGAGGGCTGTAGGCGTACAGCGCTCTCATGGCCCCTCCTGGAGAGGAAGAACACACAGGGGAAGCATCCTACCATTTTTCTGGGTTTCTATCCCGTTAGCCACTAAAATTCTACTTCCGGTTAGGGCAGGACTCCCATCTTGCCAAGAGAAACAGTGGATTGATGGCCCTTTCCCAGAAAGCCAGGATGCATCCTAGGAGCAGCAAGTTGCCACCGAGATGACTCACAATGTCCTTCCAATTCTGCAGTCGTGGTTCTAAAGAACAACTGGCTTAACGTAGCTACCAAAATGTACCTTAAGACTGCTCCTGGGAAGAAATATGGTGCCTTTGGAAGACGTGGTCCATAATCCCAGCTCTGCACTTTTTATTCTGTTACCATGGGCACCAAGACCATGGTGGTCCTAAGATGCACATAAAGCATCCGGTAGAGCACTGGTTGATAGAAATCATCCATCCCTGGCAGTAGCCGGGTTGGCATCTCTTCAGAGACTCAGCATGATCTGAGACACAAGCCCAAGGTAACCATCTTGAGATTAGACTTTTGGAACAGTCAGGAAACTAACCATGAACACAGGAGAAATCTAAAGCAAGGGAGAAAAGTGTTTTCCCCTTAATCTGTTCCAATGTTTTGCCCCCAAATGCCTTCTCTGATTAGCTCTCATTCACTGAAGTTATTTATTTCCTGGCATCTTGGCATCTCCTTCATCAGTAGTTCTCTACCCTGGCTGCTCATTAAAATCACCCGGAGATTTAAAAAAAAAAAAAAAGTTGTACTGTTCCCCAGCAACCTCCTTCCCTCCTGAATTCTGATTTCATTGGTCTGGGGTAAGAACCAGTTATCCATAGTTTTTTCAAAAGCTCCCTGGTTATTCTAACTGGGAGCCACCATCCTTAACAAATACATGCCAACTGTGGTCTGGCTGGCTAGACTTTTCTCTCAACTAAATGTAACTTTTCAGAGCCCCTAAAAAGCAGCGAGAGAGAAATTTCCATGAACACAAACTAGGAAGTAATAATAGCTGCCACTGGTTGAGCACTTATTATACCATGCACATTTCAACTTCTATACATTCCTAATGTTTGCAAAACAACTTTCCTCCTGCAATGACTTCAGGCCTCTTCCTCTGGGCCACAGTGTCCATCTGTTTTGTTACCCCTAAACAGTTTTTATTCTGCCTTTAGGACTGTAAAGGAAAATCCACCAAGACCTGAACCAACCCCAACTTTTCTTCCTTTTCAGCTCTACCCACTTCATCCAGGAATTCTCAAGAGAATTATATCTGATCTCTGGCATAGCTGCATTAAGGGGGACCTCAGATAAATAAAAAGCTGTCACTCACTCACCAACAACATAGATGCGGTCCCGGAAACTCACTGCATTGATGCATTTAGCCTCCACAGGCATGGCTGCCTTTAAAGTCCATTTATTGGTGGAAGGGTCATAACACTGAGTTTTGTCTGTGGCCAGTTTTCCATTAGGCCCTCCCCCAATCACATAGAGCTTCTTCTTGTGGCTGGTGGCAGCAAAGGAACTGACATGGACAAGGAGGGGTGCAGCCTGCAGAAGCATGGGGCACAAGAAAAAGGTGTCAGCTATGCTGCCTAAATTGCTGGAAGAACTCACAGGACATATGCCCTGGGATGCAAACCTGGGCATCCTTCTCCTGAACTGACAAGGCCTGTGGGGTTGACTCTCTTTAAGATGTGGAGAGAATCAAAGCATGCATTTCCCAGCCTCCATACAGGCAGGCTAGGGCAAGCTGTGTGTTGGGATGTTCCCACCTGTTTTCCCGAGTCTAGTTCTCAAGGAAGGAGAGGGTACAGGCAGAAATTAGTGTTATATAGATGAAGTCAGCCAATGTTGGAGGAAAATGATTTTTCAAACATATATATTCATTTACATGTTCATTCAGAAAATATCTGAGTACCTACTATGTGACAGCATTGATTGTCTTTAGTGTTTATATCCAGGAAGAAAAGCTAGTATATGGGTTTAACCAGCCATTTGGAGGCACATTGCAACTTTGGGGATTAAGACAGACTTGTACTTCTACCTTGTAAATCCCAGGATACTAAAAAGAATTTCAAGAGCCTATTACCTATTTGCATAACCCCTTTGAGTCATGGAGTAACTTTATGATGGGACTTGATGGTTGGGGAACATGTTGGGCACACCCCCAGAGATGTTAAGGGCTCCCTATATAGCACTTTTCAGGTTGACAGGCCTTTTTTGGATGTTGTGGTGATCTGGGGACCTTTGCTTGTACCTACAGTGACTGTGTTTTATACTTCCCAAAGCTGGAATATGCTCTGATGAGAAGAAAGAAAATTTGAACTTGAGAATAACCTGGAACTACAGGAGGCGAAGTCACTTTACTTTTCCTGGGTATGACATACACCTGAGGTCACATTGAGAGTCTTACATGTGGGCATGTAAATGGTTCATCATTAATGGGGAAATAAATAAGGGCTGACTTCTAAACATGACCAAATGACTCTAGGTTCACAAACAGTGCAGTGTGCGGATGCCCGCATGCCTGGTGTGGAGACGAATCTCATGGAATGCATCTGAGGGGACAAGACTCTGGGCCAGACATGTGACCATGGGATCTACCATCTCAGGGCAGGGTAAGCCTCCCCTCCACAGCCTCCACATAGAGGGCTCTGGCTGCCCAGAGAAAGCCTCCCCACCTGGAAGGACATTATTGCTTTGCCTTGATCAGCAATGCTGAAGCCCTGACTCCTAGGGAAAGGAATGTTCAGAGCCACCAAAAATGTTCTCCATAGGAGCAAGGCAATCAAAATGCTGGCCACCGTCATAGGCATGTGCCTTTTTTTTTTTTTTTTTTTAGCTCTGAAGTAATAATACAGATAGAGTTAGTCATAGAAAGAATCTCCCATACCTCCGACCAGCAGTTGTGGAAGGGGTCGTAGGTCTCCACATTGTTGATCCTCTGTAAGCCATCAAAACCTCCAATGACATAGACCTTGCCACCCAACACCACCATTTTATGCCTCCAGCGGCCGATGTTTAAATATTCAATCTGAATCCACTTGTTGATTGAAGAATTGTATTTCCAAACATCATGCTGTGTTTCTTTGCCACCTATAAGAAGTAACAAAATATTTAAGAAACCACCAGATGAGTCAGAAATGCAGCTTCTCCCATCATTTCTTAGAACTCCTAAAGCACTAAATCCTCATGCCAGCCTCACTCCAAGGGGAGACAAGAGAAATCCTGAAGGTGAATATGGTCTATGGCAAGACTTGGGGGAGACAAAGCAAATACAGGGATCTGGGGGTGGGGTGGGTGGACCAGGAGGGGAGCCATGGCCTCATGGTGTGCAGTGCCACATCAGTGCCACTGGAGTTCAACCTGGGTGAGTGGGGAGGCAGAGGGAGCCTGGACTCTGTGTTTTTGCGCACAAGGAGCAGGGAGTGAGACCGGGCAGAGATGGCAGGACCTTGACTACCTGGTAAATTAGAAGGCAGCTTAAGTTCTAAGTTTAAACAAAAGAGCAAAGACACAAATTTGGAAAAATCAGCAAGAAATCTTACAAAATTCTCTTGGTTCATAGCTCTGATCTAGTAAATATACAAGTGGGACTTGCCCTTTTCTAAAATTAATTTTTGTTATAAAGTAAGAGGTTCTCACAATAGTTCCTTTGAGAGTGAATCGGTCAATATTGAAGACAACTCTCTTGATAAACAGAAAATACATAATTCATCAGTTAGTGAGAGAGACCAAGACAAAGGAGGGCTGCCTTTTGGGGTGACTTTAATAAAACATTTAAACACCTTTATGTTTCCATTTCCCCACCAGCATGCAGCACCACCAACTGCTTGAAGCAAAAGACTATATTTATCAGACTTATGAATGTGCACTAGTGGGGCAAAGAAAAATATCACTGACAATGTTCTGGGTCACAGGTTTAAGTGTTTCTCTAGGGTGGAACCCTAAAGTGGGATTTCTAGGTCAGAGGCATGAGCACACACCAAGCATCTTTGGGAAGCTATGCTGGTTGACCTTTCCTCATGTCCCACCCTCAGCTGGCAGGGGAGAGTCCCCCTGCTCCTCTCTCTGCTATCCCACTTTGATTTTCCCTGACTCTAAGGGAGGCTGAGCTTCCTTTTCTCTGAATTTCTTATTCATTATACTCTGACCATTTTTCCTTTGGCTCATACACCTTTTAGAAGTCTCTATTCAAAACAGTATGATATTGATCCCATTTAGGTAATGTCAAAGATTATAAAGTAAGTATAAACTTTCAGAGAATATACGCAATCTTTATTTAAAATAGGAAAAAAGCTCTATGATTTTATTTCTGGATTTTAAAGAAAATCTGACTAACTGGAAAGCATAGTGTATGCGTGGGTGTGAAGACATGTTATTGCAGGGATACCAACCCTCCCTCAGGGGATCTGCATACTCAGTGCCTGAAGGACTTTTTAAAGGGAACTCTACAGGATAATTTTAAATTTCACTGAGAAAAGAAAATTTAGGATGATTTTTTTTTTTTGTATTTTTGTTTGTTTTTCAGGGCTCTTATGTGCTCTACTGCTGAGCTGCACACTCATTTCAAATGCACAGTCACTCTGATTGGCTCCCTGAAGCCCAATTTAAAGTATACTTTTCCAAAAACTGTTGTTGTTGTTGTTGTTGTTGTTTTTCTGGTGCTGGGGAGGAAAGCCAGGGCCTTCTTGCACATGCTAGGCAAGTACTCCATCACTGGAAAAACTTCTAAGAAATATTTGAAAAAAAAAAAAGAATGAAGTAGGCTTTCCTCGGCAAATATTAAAATATGCTTAAAAGCTATTAAAATAAAAACACTACAGTATGAGCACAAAAGTAGACAAACTGATTAATTAATAACAAGGATACAAACAGGACTAAAATATATAGAATTATTTAATAAATGTTATTAGAACAATTTCTATTCATTTGGAGAAAAATTAAGTTAGATACCGATTTCACATTACATTTAAAATAAAAGTCAAATGTAACTGCTGTAAAAGTAATTGGGGAATATATAAGAAACCATCTTAATAATCTTGGGGAGGGGGGGAAGATTTCTTTCTTTTTTTTTTTTTTTTTTTTTTTTTTGGTATTGGAAATTGAACCCAGGGAAACTTAACCACTGAGCCACATCCCCAGCACTGTTTTATATTTTATTTAGAGACAGGATCTTGCTGAGTTGCTTAGGATTTGGCTAAGTTGCTGAAGCTGGCCTCAAACTCACAATCCTCCTGTCTTAGCTTCCCAAACCGCTGGGATTATAGGCATGCACCACCGTCCTGGCAGACAGGGAGAAGATTTCTAAGCATGACATGAAACTCGGAATTATATAGGAAAGAAAATGACTATATAAATATAAATCAAAGTTAAAAAGACAACCATTATCTGTTTGCAACACAAAAGGCAAAGGATACATAATAAGACCTCCCAAATATTAGTAAGAAAAAGACAACAATCAATAGAACAGCCCAAGAGTATAAACAGATAATTTTTTATAATAAATGCAATTAGCTAATAACTATGTAAAAATATGTCCAACCTCACCAATGCTCCAAAAGTATAAATTTAAACATTTAGTCTATTAAAAATGTAAATGATTGATAATAAAAATTGTTAGCAAGGATGTTGAAAATGGGCACTGTCATCCAACACTGATTGAACAACAAATTGATACAAACTTTCTGGAGGACAATTAGCAATATATACCAAATTTCTCTATTCACAGACCTTCTGACTGCTTCCAGGAACTTTCCAAAGAGGAGCACAAGTATATAAAGTTTAAGTGTTTAAGAATGCCTACTGGAGTGGGGTTTTTTCCCCCAAGGAGATTTTAAAAAAGAAAGTTGTAAAAAATGATGTTTTTTTTTCATTCAATAGACTGCTTTACAGCTGGCAAAAAGAAGAGCAGTGGTGTCAGGCCTGGTAGCACACTCCTGTAATCCCAGCAACTTAGGAGGCTGAAGCAGGAGGATCACAAGGTAGAGGCCAGTCTCAGCTACTTAATGAGATGCTATCTCTAAATAAAAAATAAAAAGGCCTGGGGATGTAGTTGAGAGGTAAAGCATCCCTGGGTTCAATCCCCACTACCAAAGAAGGGAAAAGCACTGGTGAAAATGATAGGTCTCATGGAGCTCTCACCATGTAGCTGACATGTAGTATGTCACTTAACATGCATACATCCATTGTGCCAACATGTAACGATACCCAGGTATACTGCTAATGGAAGTACACGTTTCTGTTGATTTAACTGTGTAGACAAGCATGCTTGCATGTATTGCTGGTATCATTTTAAAATGAACAATAAATTCAAGAGGAAAAGGACAGTGGTAGAATAACGTGCTGTATAAATGGCAAAGATGGATTATGACCACCAACCCTGTTCCCCACTCCCTCCCCCCACACAAGGCTAAATGACATTTCCCAGGACACCTGTATGCTGGGAGAGAAGGGCACACAGCTAGTCTTTGCCAATGGAATGTGAGCAGAATCGAGGTGCTCTTTCCAGGCTGAGAGGCTTTTATGAGGACATATGCCTTCTCAACCCACTGGGTTTCTCTGTCTTCCCTAAATGAAGGCCACATGTGGGAAATGGAAGCATCACAAGATGGAAGAAGGCTGGGTCCCTGAGTGCCTGAGTGGAAGCAGATGGACCCCTCCCCTCACTCCCACATTCTATCATCTTAATTCACTGAGATTTAGGATTGCTATATCACTAATACTACTTACCCCAAAACAATATCACTATTTTTGTAAAAATATAGAATTATAATGGCACAGAGAAACTACCTATTTTCTATTCTTTGTATTGTTTGAATTTTCTATAACAATTACAAATATTTCTACAATATAAAATAAAACTAGAACCTAATAGATGGTATGAATATTTACAAAGAAGAGCAGACTTGCCCTTCACTTTGAAGGAAACCAGCTTGGGAAGCTGCTCTTCCCAAACAAGTTCATTTGCAGAAAAGCCTCCAAGGGTGGGAAGGGATGCTCAACTCTTCCCTAGGGTCCCAAGAAGGGTTGAGTTTTTTGATGTGAGGATGAGAGCCTGGGACTCAGGCTCAGCACCTGGGTTGGGATCCTGCCTGACACCTACCAGGGTGTGACCCTAGTTATATTCTAGAACCTCTCTGAGCCTCAGTTTTATCCTATCTACCTTACAGAATCAATGTGAGAGCAAATGATTAAATGTTATTAAAGTAGCTTCATCTACTATGCAATAAAAAATGTTGAGACTATGTCATTCAATAAACATTGATTGAATGTTTACTCTGAAGTCAGGCATAATGCTAGTGACTGGGGACATAGTGTTGACTTGCATGGCAACTTCAGGTCTAATTGAAGTCAGCCATAAAGTAATTGTGAATAATTGACAATTTAGCAAGAAAAATGTATGCTTTTCATATTACTTCAAAGTCTCTCAAAATATGACCTAATAAACTTAGGAGGGGGTCAGGTTTGGGAGAATAGCAGAGGTTTTCATTCCTTACTATATTCCCACACCTGGTTCAGAGTCCTATGCTAGCTTGTAGCAGACCCTGAATAAACCCTGGTATCATTTCTTCCTTTTCCCAGAAGGACTTGACCTCTCTGCCTGCTCCCCTAGATCCCAGTACAATGCTGCTCACGTTTTAGAGTTTATTAGTTAATAATGCACTCTCCAGGTAAGACTACCTGAGCTCCTGGTTCCATGACCTGACCCAGTCAGAGTTACATCATTGCCAACTCACAGTCATTCTCATAGGATGGTTCCCTGGCTCTCACTTGGGAAAATGTGGCATGCTATTGCGGAGTATGGGCTTGCTTTGGCTCCACATGGCTCCTGCTTACCTGAGATGTAGACCTCATTTTTTAATGTCACGCATGCAAACTCCACCCACTTCTTATTCTCAATCTCCAGCTCATGCTCAGTCAATGGGAGCTTGGCCACCTCCAGGCGACTGCGCCTCAGGGGATCCAGGCAGGTTACCTCTGCCACAAACCGTTCGTCCTTTGTACAGCCACCAATGATCATGAACACCTCAGATTGGAATTCGTGCATCCTGGGCTTGGTGCGCTCCGAAATGATCTGAAAATCAATGGGGGACATATAGGCAGGATAACATGATGAAGCACAGCTCAGGCTGTGAAGCCATATGGAGCAGGTCCCAATTCCAAAATCTGTATGTATGACCATGTGACTTCACCTCAGTGTGCCTCTGTGTCATCTATACAATGGAAATTTTAGTGTTAACTACCTTATGGGTTTGTTGTGAGAATTAAGTAGCTTGATATATAGTGTGCTTAATCTTGAGCCTGGTGTGTAATGTGTACTCAATAAATGTTACCTATTGGGTTTTCTTTTATTTTGTTTTAAGAAGACAGGGTCTATTTGCCATCAAATGTACTTACTGCCCTCTCCCATGCTTCCTACCTGGTCTGAAGCCTTAAATTCTTGAATTTCATTTTGGGCTATTTCCCAGTTCCCCTGATTTCAATTTCTTAATATCTCAGATTTTGCTCTCCACCAACCTCCTTTTGGAAGGAAAGTCCTTTACAGTGACATATAGAGCAGAAACTTAGGAGGAAAAAGAAGCAGAGCCAGAGAGGCTGGGGAACTGGTCCTTATACAAGTTTATGACCCTTCAGAGACTTGAATAAGGAACTCCACACTACAGGTATTTGAATCCAGTTGTAAAACCAGGGGTTTGGAAGTCAAGTACACTGGGCTTCCATCACCTGTGGCCATGTGACTTTGGAGAAGTGATATAGTCTCTGAAAAATGCTTGTTACTGGTTCTGTGACTTTAGGTCATTGTGGACACTCTTGATGTCATGAGGTAGAGTGGGGCACCTGGCACATACACAACCCTCATCAGATTGTCCTGTCGGTGGGAGCAGTAGCAGATGTCAATGGATATCACTAGGAAAGGAAGAGCTGCCTCTTCCTGGTTGCATCCAATCCTTGGTGCTCAGTGGGGAGGTTCCTTGGGCGTACTGATGAGAGTCAGAGAGGTAGTGCCCCCTTGTCCACCGCCAAAGCAGCCACTGTTTCCTACAAAGTTAGGCTGATCTAACAGTTATAGAACTTTGATTTTGCTCACTGGTGTTGACAAATTGGTTACATTACCAAAGACTGAGTCCTTACAGGGTGAATTCAATGACCACAGTACACCCAATCTTGACTTTTCCATGAGTCTTTATTTCCTTGTTTTTCTGTGCCAAAGAATCAGCTCCAGTAAACTCTTGAGACTGGACCATGGCCATAGAGTTTGCAGCAGGACAAACCCTAAGCAATGGGCTGAGCCTGAGGGCATCAACAGTAGAAAGTAGGAAGGTCAGGAGGGATGCTCCAAGGAACTTGGAGTCAGTTAGTTGAAGACACCAAAGCAGCAGGACAGGATCTAAGCAATGAGTTGACACCAAAGACAAACTTTGACATTTTGCAACTTTCCTTCCAGCTACCAACCCTAGTTCCTGTCCCTAAATTTCCCCTACCTATGTCTGAGACACAACATCCAGCACCAATCTGGTCCTCTTTCAGAGGAGATTTAGGTGTGGTTGGGTTTTGTGTAAAGGACAGCATCATCCTTCAGAACTGGTTCCTCTGTGACTCTTATTTCAATTCTGACAACCAGGCCTCAGCCTTCTCTTGGAAGCTTCCTGTCTTATGCACCAACAACCTTCTGGGCAGTGGAGGCTGATGGGGACCTGGACTGGCAATGGCCTTACTTCCTGGCTCCCAGGGCTGACAGGGTATTCTTTGCTCCTGAATGTCAAATATCGGTGTAAACTAAAATTGTGGGTTTCAACACCAACAACTGGAGCTTATGGGTTTCTATACGCATAGGGTGAATGAGTGAATGGGGGGATGGATGGATGGATGGATGGGCAAATTAGGTAACCCAGCCCCTTACATGGATTATTTTTTCCATTCTAAATTATTGTGGTAACCATCCTCCACAATGGCCACAGTGATCCCTGCTTTCCAGTAATCACACCTTATGTAGTTCTCGTCACACTGTTCCAGAATTGATCTCTATGATGAATAGTAGAGCAGCAATGATGGTCCATCAGGCTTCAAGGGGCATGACAGCTTCCATTTTGGTTGCTCTCTCATTCTCAGAGGGAAGTCAGCTGACATGGAGATTCCCACATGGCAAGAAACCAAGGCCTCCAGCCAACAGCCAGTAAAAAAACTGATGCCCACCAACAACTCTGTGAGTTAGCTTAAAGTGTGTTCTACAACTCCACTTGAACTTTGAAACTACTGTAGCCCCAGCAACCTGACTACATCCTGGTAAGGGATCTTGCATCAGAAATACCCAGCCTAACCCCACCCAGGACTTGAGAATGTTTGCTGTTTGAATTTTTTTTTTTTTTTACAGTGCTGGGGGTTGAATACAGAACCTTGCACATACTAGGCAAGTGTTCTACAAGTGGGCTCCACCAGCTGTCTGTTTTGTTTTAAACAGTTGAGTTTTGGGGTAGTTTGTTTTTCAATGATTGATAACTAATACAACTAACTAATACAATCATCTTGGTGATGTGATTGGTTGGATATTGAGAATTGCCTTGTAACTAAGCTTGTAACTTAATAGTGCTGAGTGCTGGCACTATCATCAAATTGCAAATTTGGTAAAATATTAAACCCCAAGGCTTGAAAGATGTCAATTTGAAGTCAGAGATATGAAAGTTTGTTGTAGATTTACATAAATATTTTCCAATGAATTGCACTCAACGATCAGGTCTAACCAGTTTAACTTCAGATTGTTAAAAACAGAACAGATAGGGCTAGGGATATGGCTCAGTGGTAGAGTACTTGCCTGGGTTCAATTGTCAGTACTACAAACAAACAAACCAAAATGAACAGTTGTACCTGACTAACTGCTCATTGTTCACAGAGTTATACTTGAGGACAAATAGAAATGACCATATTGGTCAACAAAGCTGTCCTTAAGAGTGAGCCTCTGCCTGCATCTTCCCATATCATACTTGTCAGAAAAACCTTTATAATAGACCAACTTAGTCCCTGGAAACTTAGAAAGCAATTAAATGAAGAGGCAACTTTTTCTGTCCTAAAAAAACAAACAAACAACAAAAAAAAAAACTCTTCCAATGAAGGTTCCAGCTACTACTTTTAAACAAAATGTAGATCAACATTTGCTTTTAAGATTCTAAAATTTCTATCATTACCACCAGCCTACAAGATGGAGAAGATTCTAGGGAAGAAGAGATGAAGGTTGGAAATGAAGGTTAAGAGGAGGAGTGTATTCACAAGAGTAACCTCCAAACTCACTCTACTGCCATCAGGAATAAACCCAAGATCATTCAAGCAGTGCGTAGATTACAGTTCAAGAGACCACCTGGCAATGAGACCCAATTTGGAGATCTGTGATTGATTCAGTTGTCCAGAATATAAAATGGAAATGAGAAAGTGCCTTGTTCAGGATTTGAAGAAATAAGGCAGCAAAAGACTGAGACCAGTGAAACAAGAGATTTGAGTTCCAGAGAAGAAAATGCTTGATTGTGGGAGACAGAGCAACCATAAAGGAATTGAGTGAGAATAACACCAGCTTCCATTTGAGGGACACTTATCAGACACTAGACACTGTACTAAGCACTGTACTACACATATTTCATTTATTATTTTATTCAATTTTTAAAACAGTTCTGTCTCTTGTTAGATATTATTATCCTTGTGTTACAGATTAGGACTGAGCCTTAGAGTAGCAAAGTAGTTTGCCTGAAATTACACTGTCAATAAATTGTACAGTTAATATTAAAACCCATATCTGCTCACCACCCCACCCCACCCTCTGGACCTTGAAAACACAAAAGACAGTGAAGATGTGTAATTGTAATAATTTTTGCAGAAAACAGGATAGAGACTTTCTATATGAGAGGAAAACCTTTATTGCCTATATCTTAAGGTCTTAGAAAATAGCAGGTAGAAGCAAAAGTAACTAGCATGTTCAAGTATAGAATATTGGAAGTATAGTTAGCCAAGACTCTGTACTTTAAATTGACCTAAGAGAAACCTTTCTGCAGTTGTATGATACCCAGTGTGAATTATCTGCCAAGTTCCCACATATCCACCATGGGAAAGGACCTATGTGGGTGGTGATCTGGTCTTCTCCCATAGTCTAATTGTCCCAATGTCTCTGTCAGACCAAAAGGTTAGTGAGGCAGAGACTGTCTCATTAGCCAAATAAACCTCTTTAATTTTTAAATTATCAGCCTCCAGTTATTTTTTATAACAACACAAAATAGACTAAGACATAAGTTGATGTTCAGGATTTATCTGTGAAAAATGAAAGCACAACATTTTAAAATATATGGTTTGAGTAAAAGTAATTCTTATGGGGAAATTTTCAGCATTGATGCTAATATTAAGGGAAAAAAAACTCAAGACCAGTGTTCTCAGCTCCTACCTTAATAAACTAGTAGAAGAGTAAATTAAATCCACAATAAGCAGAAGAAAGAAAATAATCAAGATCATAGTAGAAATATATAAATTTTAAAAAATAGGAAAACAATAGTGAAAATAAAACCAAAAGTTAGCTATTTGAGAAAATCAATAAAATTGATAAACCTCTAACCAAACTGTTCAGGAGAACAAAAAAACAAACAAAAAATAGGATACGAAGTTCCAATATCTGGAATGAGAGATTGGATATCCCAACAGATCCTATAAATAATAACAGGATGATAAGAGAATACTATGAATAATTATATTCTAAAAAACTCAGCAACTTACGTGAAGTGAAACAATTCTTTGAAAGACAAACTACCAAAGCTCATTCTAAAAGAAATGGATAACCTGAATAGAACTGTATCTATGAAAATTATGCTATTTGTAATTTTAAAAATCTCAGAAAGAAAATTTCAGGTTCTGGTAAATTCTACCAAATATTTAAGGAAACATTTCCAGAATGAATGAATAAAAAGTGGATCTAAGAATGACAGAGAGCTAGAAAAAGACAAACGGTGGGGTGGGGGGAAGAGCCAGAGGAGCCTCAGACAAATGATTGCTGAGCTACCTTTGGGTAAGGTTTTTCCCAATGGCCTAACAAAGAAGGCTTGGTGGCTAATCTCAGAACTCTTGTATAGTGACACATGTATATGGGTCTGCATGTGTACAAATCATTAGCAAGATGTCCCTATAGCATTACTTCCTGCCAGTTTTGTTCTTCTGTAATACACTTGCTCTCACATTTATAAAGTTTTGAATAAAAAAAAAAAATTCTTCAGAAATTGTTAAGGAGACCCAGGTAGATCCAGATGCTCTGTGTATTCACCATCCTGGTATTTGTCTAAGCACTCAGTAAACATTGACCACTAACTCACTATGCACCAGAGACTTGCTTCTAAGATCTGGAGATGAAAAGTCCAGTAAGTTACATTTCCTACTATAACAAGCTCTCTACCTAAAGGAATTTACAGATTCTGAACTCAAGGTTTACCACGTGACAGCTATCGCTATAATTAAGGAAGTCACCAAAGGCTATAAGAACACACATAGGTCTCTGAAGAACATGCTTGAACTGAGTTTTGAGGTGGGAGTGGAAGTTAACTAGAGGAAGAAAAAGAAAAAGGCATTCGGATATCACCTGCCTTGGCCTGGAGACTGGACTACACTTCCACTTTGGAGAACAACAAGCAACACATCAGGACTAGAGCAGAACAGAGAGGTGGGAGATGATGCCAGGAAGCCAGGCTGGATGGGGGTTAGGCAGGAAGTGTGGTTTTCACCCCAGAAATGACAGGGATCCAGTGAAGAAGGTAAGCCAATGAGCAAGAGGCTCACACTTGAGTTTTAGATAATCCTACTGGTGGAAATGAATCAGTGTGAGACCACACTGAGAGCAAGAAGGTGAGTTCTGAGGAACTTTCAAGAAATTTGAGAAGGAAAGGATGAAAGTCTGAACCAAGATAATGTAACATAAGAATCCATCCAAGAGATATAAGGTTTCACCAGAGTGGACAAATTAGGAAAGTGGCATGCCTCTGGACAGGGCACGGTCCTTTCTGTGTGCATTGCCCCTCACCAACCTCCTGCTCTCACACAATTGAGAAGAGCAAGAATGAATCAGGTGTGGTGCTGGGTGGTTTCCTCTGTCACCCAATCCTATCAGTAACTGTCTGAAAATGTAGTACATCCCCATTTTACAGATCAGGCATTCAGGGCTTCTGGAACTTCTTGACTCAAACTTTGAACAGTATAGCATCTTCTAATTAATCTGGTTAAACATAGCATCTTTCATCTCTAACTCACCTCATTGCCAGAAAGGTGGTACATCCTGGCTTCCTGGAGCAGTGGGAAGACCTCTGGGCACTGTCTGATGAGAGGATCTGCTTCGACCGTCTCCACAAAGTACCATGGGTCCAGAAGTGGCAAGCGCACGTTCTCGAGAACACAGGGGAGCAAGCAGAGTCGCTCTGACTGTTTGTGGCGGACCCAGCTCATCACAGTCTCAAACACCTGAGCTTCCTCAGTCACATAAAGGTCGTCACTCTTCAAGATGTGGTACAGAGTGTCCACGGGAAGTTCAAGGAACTCCTCGGAGTTCAGAATCTGCACAAAGTTTTGAATGATGTAATTCTGAACTTGCTTCTTTAGACTGTCCAAAGAGTGTGTGTCTGCCAACCTCAGGATTCCAACACAGTTTTCTGGGTTCAAGGCTTCTGTGAGGAAGCTGGCGCAGGCATCCACCATCCGCAGGAACTAATGGAATAGAAGGGAGCGAATCAGGCCAGAAAGTGGACTGCCACAAGGATGTTTATCAGTGAGCTGTGTAGAGTAGCAAAAGCAGAAACAACCAAAACGTCCAACAACAGCCTAGATAAATTAATGATACATTGCTCTAGTCAACAACTCCATAATCATTTAAAAAAACACACATTATCATAGGATAATAAATGATGTGGAAGATATTTATAGTGTATTGAGGTTTTTTTTTTTCAAATCTATCACTGAATCTAATTGAGCCTAGATTTATTTATTTGTTTGTTTGTTTGTTTGTTTATTTATTTATTTATTTTTGCAGTGCTGGGGATCAAACCCAGGACATCACCCATGCAAGGCAAATACTCTACTACTGAGCTACATCCCTAGCCCAAGTCTCTAGGTTTAATAAACCATTTACTGGAAATACAGTGGAAAGAGGAACATGCTAAGTGACACCATAAAAACACAATCAGCAAAATCCAGACTGTGGGAAATTCCCCAGGACAACTGATTCCGTTTCCTCAACAAAAATATTTACAAGAGCAAAAAGAGAAGGAGAGGGCAAACCTAAAGATAAAGAGATTTAAGAGACGTATCAACCTACTGCAAACTAAGTCTCCTGCAAAATTAAATCTCTGATTTAAATAAAGAATAAAATACTGTTGGAGAAATGTTGATAATGACTAATATTTGGTGATATGAAGAAATTATTAATTTTAGTATTATTGATTTTGGTACTATGAGTATTTTAAGAAAAAAATACTTATCTTTTAAATCCTTATTTTCTAAGATTATATGCTGAAATTGTTGCAGATGAGAAAAGCATTTCACCAAATAATATGCTCATTTACAAGTCTATTTTTATAGAGAAAAATATATATGATGTAATCACTGAATAAAATACACTAAAGACTAACAGTGTTATTTCCCTGTGCATCAATATAGGTATCTTAGGACAGATTATACTGCAGTAGCAAACAACCTTCACACCTCAGGGGCTCACAAGAGAAACGATTATCTCTCACTGTTACTGTGTGTCCTTCACAGGGCTCTTTATTCCAGGACCCAGATGAAGGAAAAGCTCATAACTGAAATATGCTGGTCTCATGACAGAAGGGGAAGAAAGATGGCAGAACCACACAAGAGCTCTTAGAGCTTCAGTGGTGGCTCTGTGCTATTTGCATTCACACTTAACTAGCCACAGTAAGTCATACAGCAAAATTCACCACCAAAGGAACAATAGTCCTCCCACATAAACAGGTCCCACAGAGATGGATAAGGTATTCAGTAAGAACTGTAATCCAAGGAACCACACTCTCTAATTAGACTATGAGAATTTTTTTCCTATCTTTATTTGTATTTTATATATATATATATATATATATCTCCTCTAAAGTGAATTAGTATCACTTCAATAGTTAAAAATTAATTGGTAGAATTATTGATTGGCTTCCATATCCCAGTTTAACTTATCATCATCCTCATGAGAATCTTAGTCTTTTGTGTTCGGACAGCACTTTACAGATTTTGAAGCAGTGTCATATCCATTATATTATTTAATGCCCATTTTACAGATGAGTTGTCTCAGATGCATCATCAGTCCATTCTTATTTGTTGTTCTATGGAGCTTAGCTTTTATCAAGTGCAGTCTCCTATCTTCCCTCTTTGTCCACTGGGCCCCTTGAAGGGTCGAGTTCACAGTGTGCTTGGGCAGGTCTATTAATGGAAGGAGAGGAAAGTGAAAGGCTGAGAGGAAGGGCATGGTGGAGAAGGCAGGTTCTGGTGAGAAGATGGATGGGACAGATCTGGCCAGGCAGGGGTGAAGTGTGCAGAGGAGGGATCTGGTGATAGGATATGGGGTGGAAGGGACATAGGACTGTGGAATCTGAGGGAAAGGGTAGGTACAGGAGTGGTCTTAGAGTGGACTGAGTTGACTCAGGTTCAGAGCATCCTGGAGACATGCATCCCTGACTTTCTGAATTGATCTCAACTGCAAAATATAATCTTTCCATATCAGACCACATCTTCCCACTGTCCATTTAGAAAATATTTCCCTGGGATTCAAAGTAAAGTTGGAGAAAGCACAACTTCTGCCTCAGTCCTCTTGTCTGTGGCTCCAACAGCTCTGCTCCTCGCTTGAGCAACTGTGTCAACGGTTGACACCCAGAAGTCTAACACCTGTTCAGCTGTTTGCAAATTTTCAATTCAAAGAACAAAAATACACAACCAAGACCAAGTATCACCGAGCCCTCAGAACTTGCCACTAGAGTCCTATCTGGCCCTGCCCATGAAGACATCTGAGAGCTAAAAGGAAACTCTCTTAAACCGCGGCCTCCAGCGAAGACACCGTATCCACCATGCTAGCTTCACATGAGAGGAAGACGATATGAAGTTAAACAGATATTTCTAGAAATTTAGACTCTCCATAGGGTGCCATTTAAGGCCTGGTAGCATTGGTTGTCTCTAGGAAAGGAACCTAATGGCTGGGTTCAGGGTCAAAGGGAGAATTACTTTTCATTGCTTACCCTTTTGTAGCCTCTCTCATTGTGTATAGGAATTACCTTTTTAAAATAGACAAAGTTTCTCAGGAGCAAAGACCATAACAGGAAATACACAAAATGCTAATAATGATTGTAGATAAAATGTTTTGTTTGACTTTTTAATATTTTGCTGTATAGACAATGTTTTCCATACCAAACATGACCATTTTAAAATCAAGGAAAACTTACAAAAATATTTTCTTATGGTTTTAAAGTACACAATGAGAAAAAAATCAACTTAAATGTAAAAAAAACAAAACAAAGACACCTACTATATGCCAAACTCTTTATACTAAGAGTTATTTAATCATCACAATAACATGATGAAATAGATATTTGGGATCATTCCTTGTTTACAGATGAAGCTAATAAGAAATAGAGCCAGGGCTGGGGTTGTAGCTCAGTGGTAGAGTGCTCACCTAGCATGCATGAGGCACTGGGTTCGATCCTCAGCACCCACATTTAAAAAATAATAATAAAGATATTGTGTCCATCTAAAACTAAAAAATAAGTACTTTAAAAAAAAGAAATAGAGTAAAAGAATGAACTAATCTCATCTAATTCCAAAACTGTGTGTTTTTGCATTATTTCAAGGTGCTCCAGGTCAAATAACATGTGGAAGATGGGGGGGGGGCGGGGGAGACAGGGACTGGCAGATCATTTGTACACTTCACCACAGAGCTCAATCTAATCTGCCCCGACACAGGAAGGATGGACCAACAAGATGCCAGTTTCCATCCCTGTGTGACACCCATTGATAAACGAAAAAGGAAACAGAGACAAAATCAAATCAAGTACTAAAGCCCATGTTTGTTAGAAACATTGATCCAAGCTTGTCTCTTTCCACTCTGAAACTGTTAATTCAGCCATTAATCTACCTGTTCATAAACCAATATATATTGAGTATCCATTAAGTTGGACATTCTTGACTCATGCTAGATACAGATGGTTCCTGGGACATGAGAGCTGATAGACCAGAGGAACAGAAGACACTAATCAATTAATCACACAAAGAATGTACAATTACAACTGTGACCAGTGCTATGTACCCAAGTCCAGTGAGTCCACTGTCTGAAACCAAAAATAGTCCTCCTCCAACCCCTCAAAGCCGTCCACAAGCTGGCTCTTGACATCACCATGACCCTCCCTCACAGTGCTGCAGCCACAGCTAGACCCATTGCCTCACCTCCAGACATTCCCTGAGAATCCCTGTTGTGCCTTCTGATGCTCACGCCATCTGCTTGGCCCGCACAATCCTGCTTTTCCAAGACTCTGTTAAAATCCCACATTCCTCAAGAGCCTGACTTTTAAGGAATGACTCAGAATAGCTCACCTAATTTTTCAACACAGGTTTCTTTTAAGTTTACCCAAGAAGGAGGAAGAGGTGATGATACCTGATGACATTGCCATGCTGAGGATCGAAGACCTCCATAGGGATGTTTTCTTCACTCACAGGTATTAAAGCAGAGACCAATGGTTTGGCTTCAGACAGTCTGTGAACCCCTACAAGTGTACACAAACCCTTGTTTGTGCATGTAGCATTTTTCTGAGAACTGAGTTTTCAGAGGACATTGAGTTATTCCCTGGTATCCATCCACCTGAGGACAGAGCCAACAAATGAGGGAGAGCCACATCGAGAGAAATGGAGCCCTGTCTGGTCAGGCTAGGCTTGGAACCTTCCCCAACTCTGAACATTTTAAATTCTGGGTCAAAATTGTGTAAAAAGAAAGGAGGGGGCTGGGGATGTGGCTCAAGCGGTAGCACGCTGGCCTGGCATGCGCAGGGCGCTGGGTTCGATCCTCAGCACCACATAAAAATAAAATAAAGATGTTGTGTCCATCGAAAACTAAAAAATAAATATAAAAAAAAGAAAGGAGGGAAATGGAAAATCAGGGGATGGAAAAGAAGTAGACAAATTCTACCTCTCTATGGAGTTTTTTTTTTTTTTTTCTCCCTCTTTGATAGCTTCCAATTCCCCAACACAAAGTGAATTCTTCTCTCCTCTCTGCTCCACTGGGTTATGCCTGCCCCTTCTGTGGAGCACCTGTGTTCTGCCTTGCACTCTGGCCAGTTGAGACTAGCATCTCAAAGGTGGGTTCTAGGTCATATTTGTGTTTTCATTTCCAGCAGCAACAAAAGAAGAGAAAGGGGGGAAGGAGAGATAGAAGGAACCATTTCTCAGACACCTAGCATGTACTAAGATCTATGCTAAGCACTTTTCTATCTGTTATTTCATTCAACAAGTAAACAAAGAGGATATTAGTATTACCATTTGTATAGAAGAAAGAGTCAAGAATTCAGAGTTAAGAATGTTGCCCGAGGGCTGAAGTTTTGGCTCATTGGTAGAGCGCTTGCATGTGAGGCACTGGGTTCAATCCTTAGCATCACATTAAAAAATTAAATAAACAAAATAGAGGTATTATGTCCATCCACAAATATATATATATATATCATAGA